TCCACCTGAACCATAGTTCCGTCGCGGTGCATTTCTGTGTCCCATCTCAACGACACCAAAACAGGGATGGAGGGTGCTCACTCAGCAGCGTACTAACTTAACGTTTTGGTTAAGCCTCTAATGGTGACGACGACCTCCCAAAACATCCCAACCCCCAATAATAACGCAGGTAGCTCAGCTGCAAACACCGATGACGGACTCTCGGTTTTTTTGTTTTCTTTGATACGATAATCAGCGCATCGTCCTTCACGCAAATATGTTAAATATCCACTTTATATCTATCCACAGTCTTCGAAAAGTCGCCATCTATTTAACGCTAGTAAAGCCACCTGTGTTGACTTCCTTTTGCGATCTTCATTAAAACTTTTCAAAGCAACAACAACAGAGTCTCCAACGCTTCGAAACAAACGGCAACGTTTCCCACTGGCGTGTAACCACAACTAAACCTTATTTAAACGCTGACAGGCCTCCTAAACCTAGAACTCTATTGTCGATAATACTCAGACGATATGCAGATGAAAGGAACAGAGAGTCCTCCTATAGTCGTGATGCTTACAGTCTGCCTCCCTTTCTCCTCGCTTCCCTCCCCACTGCTTGTCAAAACAGATCAGTGCAGCTCAGTCACGTGTCCCAACAACAGCCCCAGTCGTCACTTCCCTCGCGGACACAGCCTCGCATGAACTCGCAGCCATAGCAACGGCAAAGTTACCAAAAGTGGTACCAAAACTTGTATCTTATGACAACATGTTCAATAAATTAAACTCCAGTATAAGTGTATTTCTTTACACTTGTAGTACTATTTCTGACACACGGAAGAAACAGGAGAGGGGCTCGTCAGCTGATTGGTCAGTGGATTTCGGTGCGCGTTCACGTGCGCACGTGAGGGTTCGTTTTTTCCCGTCGTGAACATTTTGTACTGGCTCGTGAGTGAGTACGGAGCCACAGATCGTGTGTTCAAGTAATGCTGGGGGTGTAGGATAAAGTCTTCTCTGACTGAGGGACTTTAAATGCCAGGAAAAGTTACTGGCAACAAGAACTGTCCAGTTATTTCACTTAAGTAAAAGTCCTGCATTCAGCGTAAAATGCAAAGAAGGCCTACCAAAAGTAAAAGTGCTCATTATGCAGAAAGGCACATTTCAGAATATAAGTTAACCTATTATATTAGACTATTATCAGTGCTTCTATGTTATACATTTGAATGATGCAGCTGTTAAAGGTTGAGTTAAATAATAACTTTATATTTTGCCATGTGTCTTAATATAAAACTTCTTTGTATGTTTTATATTTTGCACTGATAAGGTCAACATTACAAAGAATGAAAAGGTTAAAAGTAACTAATGCTGTCAGAACAAATGTAGTGCAGTAAAAATAAATAATGCTTAAGTAAACCTCAGGTAGCGCAAACTTGTATTTAAGCCGGGTACAGAAAACACTTTGTTGCATGCTACCACTGTTATCAAATTAATAAGTCATTAACTTTAGTTTTTTTTTACACCAATAAATAGTTTGCTTTTGTAAACTGACAGGAATAAACTGTCCTTTATTAGTCCTTTGTTATGTTGTTAAACAAAAGAGAGCTTTATATAATGTGTTTTTAATATTAGTGATATTTAACAGTAGAAGCTGGGTTGTAACCTACAACACGTAGCCTACAAAATCAAACTATGACAGGTTCATATTGGGCCAACCAGAAATGTATACATGAGACTATAAAATACTGAGGACACCCTGTTCATATCATATTTTAAAATCTTTATTTAGGCCAAAGTTGATGTTATGACCAAAGCAATGCTAGATACACAGTTCAACATCAAACAAGAATGAAACCATAAATATTCACAAACTAGCATCCAACACAGGCTAGTTGGTGTAATGAGGAGTGCCCAAAAACTCTCCAAACATATATATATATTAAAACAAATATTCTTATGCTCATACTCTCTGTTAAACTTTCTGTTAAATGCAGAATGTGGTCCATTGTCATTGTGGCACGGACAGGGGAGAGGGGGAGCTCTGCTGTAATCTTTTCTCTGCTTAACCTCTTGAAACAAAGGCACAAGGCCAACATGAGGACACTAGAATCTGCTCCATACATCTGCCAAATTTGGCAGCTGCAGTTGTACTCCGTGTGTTATTGGTGTTTGCTACACACACAGATAGATTTGGGGTGGTCTTTATCCGAGACATTTCTAGTATTATTAAAACATTTTCAAAAAACGATCCTAAACCAAACATTATTTAATTTTTGTAATCAGGACCTTTCAGACTCTTTGATGAGAGTTGATTGAATTTGCTATCCTGTGTTTCAGATACCAGAGTAAAGTGACCCAGATAATGTAGGGTCATGAGGTCCACAACAACAATGCAAACATCTACCAGTTGATGGAGGGCATTTATCTGGTAAACGAGCAACGTTTACAGTTACCCTTCTGTCACTGATTTACACACAGAATTGAGAAAACACCTGTTGTTTACCATTGTAGTTCATACCGTGTGTGATCAGTGATGAGTCAAATAAAGCCTTATTCACCAGTTTGTCATCCTGCAAAAAAAAACAAGACATTTCATTACAAGGTTTTAGCAGCTGGGCGAGGAAGCTGTTTGGAGGTTGATTAGGCAACAATTGCAAGGTTGTTTGTGGTAGCATGGGTTAAAGAAACTGTGTGAAAGCCATGTTGCTAAATAGGCTAAACATTTCCAGTCTACAACAAAATGACAGCAGACTAACATGACATGCCAGGTATTTAGCTACATGGTTAAACCTATTTATCATTAAAGCAAAATGCGAACATGGGAATCAATTCCTTAGAAGATACATTTCAGAGAAAATAAAAAAAAGTCCCTTACACACTATCATCTCATTGATCTATTAAAAGGAGTCAATGTTACAGTCAAAAGGAAAGGCCCTGATAAAGGTATTTTCTACTGACGTCAATGCTTTGGAAGATATCATTGCAGAAGTTAGTGATACGTGTGTGCTGGAACTGAAAAAATGTGTAATGTCATTTTGTAAAAATCAAATCTCATTTGCACAAATGATTAATTATCTCCTAAATATAAAAAGCAGAGCAACATTGTGCAATGAAAGCAAACCTCTGTGGTTGAAATGCTGTGCAAACCTTGTGGTAGTAAGAATCTGTGATAACAAAAAATAGCATGCTTGCATGGTGTTTAACAGCTTTGTGAAGATCAGTCACTTTTAGTTTACACTGGTGCCCAAACTGTAATTGTGTTCAATTTAATTGTAGTTGTTCGGCAACTATCCAATCACAGCTGTGCCAGAAACAAAGAGGTGTGTTATTTTAGTGTGTGAAAAGAAAGCTGGCATTTAAAGTTGTGGTTTGCAAGGAGCTGCAAAGGCCTGCATTGCAACACTGCTAATATTTTATTTATTATTTTTATTTATATATTTATTTGACAGGGACAGTGCACATTGATTGACATTTCTGTAAATGCGCCAGAGTTAGCCAACAGGCTATTTTTCGTCTGTAGTCCCTGGACAGATGTTAAAAGTCATCCTAAAAACAAAAATTCACTTCATGATGATGTCCTTAAGTGATACATCCTGAAGCACTGTAGCAGAATCCAGAAAGCTACACACAACAACCATGCTGATTTAAAAAATATATGTGGAAATGTTTTATGATTTGCAGGTGTACAATCTGCATTTATGTAACCTCATTTCTACTTCTAGTACACACTGTTCATTGAACCTAACATTTAAAAATATATAGGTTATCTCTGATTTAAAATGTGCAGAGATAGTTTTCTGTGTTTGTAGATATTGACTATACTGTTCAAAAGAATATAAGCTTGAATAATCTTTTTGGATGGTACTTTTAGTTTCAATGTATGTAAATGCAAACAAAGTAGTTCTTGTTTTGAAAATCCATGTCCTGGCCCCACCTGGTGGCAGCATACTAGTAATGCAGCACATAAAGAAAAACACTAATTATATTGCTAAAAATATCTATTGATTATCTATCCTAAATAGATACGATGACAAAATGAGAAGAGGGAAAGAGGAGCAAAGGAGAAGGGCAAGTCCAACAACTCCAGGGAGTGAAAGACAGAGGTTGTAGAAACAAGATGTCACCTGAAGTGAAAGAGGTCAGTCATGTTGCAGAGTGGTGGGACTCCCTTTGGTCACTGTCCTGGGACTCTTCAATCTTCATTCAAGTCACATTCTTGAATAAGAGAGCATCATTCATCGTGTGGCACACAGCTTTATCCAGTACTCTGTTACCTATTTAAAGAGCTGCAAAATACTCACACACAGCTCACAAATACATGCAGAGTAATTTATTGATTTGGAGCAGATAATTAAAGTGTCAGCATTATTAAGCTTGCAATTCTGGTGGATGGCTGACATTAAATCATATCATTTTATGTTCACAAAGGCAGTTACACTTTTGCGTAAGCATTTGTGTAAGAGCCATTTTAATGAATGTTTGGGTTTAAGCTGACAACATTGTGTGTTATTTATGTTGTGTGCCATAGGGTGTCGCTGTCCAATTACCTAGGGCACAGGTATTTTAGGGTGTGTCTTGTCACGTGATTGGGTGGTTTTTTGATCGCCGTGGCGCGAGTGTTTGTACCACAGTGATTGTTTGTTCGTGCAATGAATTACATTGTGATGGATATGAAATGTAATGTTACGATGCACACCAATACACAATAAATGGGTTGTATATGCTGCAACTGGAAACGAGCCTACCGGTACTTTATTCAAGCGACATCACAAACTCTTATCTTATTCATTCCCGGGAATTATAACACCACAGAGTAGCTTTAGTATAATGTCAAAGCTCCTTTATCAGTCAAAAACCAACCAGTTGGGACTTGACTTTCGGAGTGTTTGGCACTTTGGGTTTGACATGGAGAGCTACTGCTTGCTGGCTGCGTAACGACCGGGAAGCTGCCAGGATTTCGGATGCGTTGGGGCCGTCTGCAGGCTACAGGAGGACGAGGAAAGCCACCGGTCTCCAGCTGCAGTCATCCACTGGACCCGGCAGGAGCTACGGTGCTAAAGCTAAAAACACCGGCAGTGGTGCATCGCCATGGATCACCGCACGGCGATATTCAGGTAGGAAGCGCAACACTTTCTAATGGCTATTTCAATTGTGTGCACAGACCACAGACACATAACTGCAGTGGTGGAAAGTGACTATGTCAATTATAGGCCGACTTCTACTTCTACTACCCCATTACATTTCCGTGGTAAATATTGTACTTTTTACTCTAGGCCTACAATGTTTTGTACCAGTTTAGTTGTGTAAATACGTACGCATCATAACACACATTTGCTGATATGATATAATGCTGTACTGCTAATCTACATTAGTATCTACATTTGTTCCACGTTGACCCACTACAATCGTAAAATGCTCTTACATGTATAAACACAGGATAAAATAATAACCATAATAATAAAACACTGTGTAAAGATCTTTTTTGCATAACGAATGCTTTCACTTAAATACTTGAAGTAGGCTACATTTAGCTTATAATACTTTGTATTATTCTGAAACGCGTCATAGTGCAGAATGAGTAGCCTAGTTTCACTTTCTGTACTTTAAGTAGGCCTACATGTTGATGCTATTACTGTTGTACTTCTACTAAAGTAGAATTTTGAAATCATGACTTTTACTCGGAGTATTTAAAGACCATAGTATTTGTACTTTTCTTTAAGTAAAGGATCTTAGTACTTCTTCCAACACTGCATTTCTGAGAATAAACCTAATGCAGTGGTATCCGAAGCGGACGGATATAATACTTTATATTGACGAGTTTTCCGGGACAAACTATTGTTGACGGACTATTTTATCATGGAGGGGTATGGCAAGCCGATTTAGCTTTTATTCATTTCTGGAGGATATCAAAATATCTATTCTTACTAGTAATAATGTTTATTTCTGATATCAAAAATGGAATTTTAACTAGTGAGAATTGCATCGTTTTTCTCATTCACTTCAATGGGAGTTGGAATTTGAACTAGTTCAAATGCCAATTTCTGATATCAGTAATTCAATTTGAACTAGTTACAATTGAATTCCTGATATCAAAAAAGGATTTTGAACTATTTCAAATTGTATTTCTGATATCAACAATTGGCATTTCGACTAGTTCAAATTGAATTCTTGATATCAGAAATGTGTATTTTGACTAGTTCAAATGTAATTGTAACTAGTAACAATTGAATTACTGATATCAGAAATTTGAATTTGAACTAGTTCAAATTCCAACTCCCATTGAAATGAATGAGAGAAACGATGCAAATCTCACTAGTTAAAATCGTATTTCTGATATCAGGAATTTGCATTCTAACTAGTTCAAATTCAATTTTTGATATCAGAAATAAACGTTATTACTAGTAAGAATTGCATTTTTGATATCAAGAATTTGCATTCTTACTAGTAAGAATTTATTTTTTGCCATAGTGCGTGACGCTGCGACTGGCAAAGTGGCGTTGGAATTGTTTGCGAGCTGCCAGTAAACCCAGTGATGTGACTAGTGTTGTTGAAACTGAAACTTAGAAAAACTCTTTATAAAATAGATATGTTGCAAAATGAAAGAAAAAATTAGCTTTATAAAGCAAGCGCCCTACAAAATCAATGCTCTTGGGAAATTGATTGAGGGGTGTGATGAGGCAACATGCTTGCATTCATCTTGAATGTGTTTACTGCCATGTGAAGAAACAGAAAAACACGAAACATCGCTTAAAGCAAAAAAATATTGGGAAAGCAATGATGAGTGAATCACTGAAACAAAAAAGTGGGTTTCATTTAGAAAAGGTGATGCAACTAATGCTTACTGAGGATTATATAAATCCTAATGATGGTTTGTCAAAAATGTTGTCGGACTATGACACAACATTTCGACGGAGCATATGTAGAGGTGATATCAACTATGATGTGATAACATTGTGTAAGGGACTGGGAGGCAGAGTAGTGGGAGACACCTACATTCCCAATAGGTGGCTCCACCCGCTGCCAATTATCAGTATTGGGAGCAGGTGGGGAGACCTCACACCTGGTGCTAATCACTCCCTCAAGGGAGACAAAAGCACCTAGAGTTGCTCAGTGGTGTGTGGCACATGGAGGGAGCAGGAGACTCCCAGCGTGAGGAAACAGTTGTAAGCTGGCAAGTCGGTTAGCGGCCCGGCTACGTTAGCCTTTCTATTGTAAAAGGTATTTTTTAGTTGAACAGCAATAAAGCCTCTTTTTGGATTTGAACACTGCCTCTGTCGTGACTGCTTCACTACCATTTTCCTCTTTATCTGCCCCGGCCTGTTACACTGGTGGAGAATGCGGGCCTAAGGACTCTAGTGGTGGTGTTGCAGTTAGGGTATTTCAGTTTCAAGATGGAGGATGTACTAAGGGAGTTGGTGCGTATTTCTACTGAGCAGCAGACTCTGCAACGGCAGATGATACAGGAGCAGCAGAAACAGAATGCGCTTCTCCATGTGGAGGTCCAAAAATGCCTAACAGCAGCCTCTCCTACCCAGAGGGAAGCAACCGTGCAGCCTAACCCAGGTCGATTCATCCCCAAAATGACGGAGAGTGATGAGATAGAGGCCTACTTAACAGCCTTTGAGTGCACTGCTGAAAGAGAGGGCTGGCCAAGGGATTCCTGGGCTGAGCTGGTTGGACCATTCCTCCTGGGCCCGGCACAGCAAGCTTACTTCGACCTCCCTCCGGACCAAGCAAAGGTCTATGTCGTCTTGAAGAGGGAAATCCTGGCGAGGTACAGCTTAGCAGCTAGAGCCCAGCGGTTCCATGACTGGAAATACAAGCCAGAATTGTCAGCCAGGGCCCAGATGTATGACCTAGGCCGGGTAACCAGAGCCTGGCTGACCTGCGACCCCGAAAAGTTGAGTGTTTTAGAGAGGATAATGATGGACAAATATATTCGGTCTCTGCCCTATGAGACCAAGAAAATGGCAAGCCAGCAGAATCCAGCCAGTCTGGATGAGTTGGTTGACGTAGTGGAGAGCCACGTGGTCACAGCGGACCTGCTTAAATCCACACGACCAGACACCGAGTGGGGCCGGAAAGCCAGTGGGGAAGCATCACGGACTAGACGGGCACGAGAACCGCGATGGGAACCCGAAGAGGTAAGGCGCCGACAGTCCTACCTGCCAGAAGGCCAACCGCGTTGCTACCAGTGTGGGGAGATAGGCCACATGGCCCGGGATTGCCCAGGGAAGGATGAGCTAACAAGACATTGAAATCCATGTTAAAGAAGGTTGTTGACAAGGATGGTCGTAACTGGGACCAGCTTCTGCCCTATGTCCTGTTTTCAATCAGGGAAGTTCCACAGGCTTCAACCGGTTTCTCCCCCTTCGAGCTGCTGTACGGCCGACAGCCCAGAGGACTTCTTGACATCGCGAAGGAAGCCTGGGAGGAGCAACCAAGCCCCCATCGGAGCCTGATTGAGCATGTAGAGACGATGCAGACGCATATGAAAGATGTTTGGCCCATGGTCAGAGAGCACATGGCTCAAGCCCAAGAAGCCCAGAGGAAAGTGTATAACAGAGGTGCCCAACCGCGTGAGTTCCTGCCCGGGGATAAAGTGCTTCTCCTGGTCCCCACCACAGAACACAGATTCCTGGCATCGTGGCAAGGTCCCTATGAAGTGGTAGAGAAGGTGGGACCAGTCAACTACAAGGTACGCCAACCTGGCCGTCGCAAACCATCCCAAATATACCATGTTAACCTGTTTAAGAAATGGTACGCCCGAGAGGCACTGCTGTGTTGTGGTTCCCCGATTGTGTCCCCCTCTTCTCCCGACCAGGAGGTGGCCGAAGTGGAATACGGTCCAGGGCTGTCCAAAGCTCAGTTACAACAAACCAAGGAACTGGTTCAGCAGACTTTGGACGTGTTCTCACTACGACCTGGACGCACAACGATGGTGGAACATCAAATCCACACAGAGCCTGGCAAAAAGGTAAAGATGCGGCCCTACCGGGTACCAGAGGCAAGACGGGCGGCCATTGAGCAAGAAGTGCAGAAAATGCTGGCTATGGGGGTGATTGAAGAATCTCACAGTGAGTGGACCAGCCCTGTCCTTCTGGTTCCTAAGCCCGACAAAACCAACAGGTTCTGTAATGATTTCAGAAAGTTGAATGAAATTTCCAAGTTTGATGCATATCCTATGCCCAGGATAGATGAGCTGATTGATCGGCTTGGGGAAGCCAGATATATCAGCACTCTGGACTTGACGAAAGGGTATTGGCAGGTCCCACTTGAAGCAGCCTCAAGAGAGAAGAAGGCCTTCGCCACCCCCACAGGGCTGTACCAATATACTGTGCTTCCCTTCGGGCTTCATGGAGCACCAGCCACGTTCCAGAGACTGATGGACAAGGTTCTGAGGCCACATCGTGAGTATGCAGCTGCCTATTTGGATGACGTTGTGATCCACAGTGACTCATGGGATAGCCATCTCACAAGGCTTGCAGCAGTGCTGGAATCTCTCCGAAGGGCGGGCTTGACAGCCAATCCAAGAAAATGCAAGCTTGGACTGGAGGAAGCCGAATATCTGGGCTTCACCATTGGGCGGGGGCAACGTTAGACCACAAGAAAGGAAGGTTCAGGCGATCCAGGACTGGCCACGGCCGTCAACAAAGAAACAGGTGAAAACCTTCTTGGGTCTGACGTCCTACTATTGCCGTTTCATCCCAAACTTCTCCACAGTCGCCTCTCCCCTTACAGACCTGACCAGAGACTCACAGCCGCTAATGGTCAAGTGGACAGGAGAGGCTGAACACGCCTTTGAGGGACTTAAGAGGGCTCTCTGCGCACGGCCGGTGTTGGTGACCCCAGACTTCAGCCGGGGGATGATTGTGCAGACGGATGCGTCAGAGGTGGGCATAGGAGCAGTACTATCCCAGGAGGTTCAAGGTGAGGAACACCCCGTGATGTACATCAGCCGGAAGCTGAACACAAGGGAACATGGGTATGCTACTGTGGAGAACGAAGGCCTAGCAATAAAATGGGCGCTTGAGCGCCTCCGGTATTACCTCTTGGGACGACACTTCACTCTGGTAACTGATCATGCCCCACTGATCTGGATGGCAAATAAAAAAGACACAAATGCTAAAGTAGGAAGGTGGTTTGTCTCACTACAAGAGTTTAACTTCTCTATCATCCACAGAGCCGGAGCTAAGCATGGGAATGCAGATGCTCTGTCCCGTAGAGATGCCCTGTGGACCATGGTCACCTCTCCTCGGCCAGAACTGAAGGGGGGGGTGTGTAAGGGACTGGGAGGCAGAGTAGTGGGAGACACCTACATTCCCAATAGGTGGCTCCACCCGCTGCCAATTATCAGTATTGGGAGCAGGTGGGGAGACCTCACACCTGGTGCTAATCACTCCCTCAAGGGAGACAAAAGCACCTAGAGTTGCTCAGTGGTGTGTGGCACATGGAGGGAGCAGGAGACTCCCAGCGTGAGGAAACAGTTGTAAGCTGGCAAGTCGGTTAGCGGCCCGGCTACGTTAGCCTTTCTATTGTAAAAGGTATTTTTTAGTTGAACAGCAATAAAGCCTCTTTTTGGATTTGAACACTGCCTCTGTCGTGACTGCTTCACTACCATTTTCCTCTTTATCTGCCCCGGCCTGTTACAATTGATTTAAGATTCACACAGAAACATACAGCATGTGCATATATCTTTGATGGTGGAGGATTCTTAACACTGCTGACAACTTACAGGACATACACTATTGCCAGATCTATCTGAAGCTCTGTTTATTAGTATTTGCTATACATTTCAAATGTTGACTCAACGTTTTGTGACAACGTGAAATCTGTTGTTCCAACTTTAGGTTTGCATGGAGTTCAGTCAATAATTAAGCTCTCTTGTTCACTTTAGGATAACTTTATATAATTTGTTTACTCCTTAATAAAATACTTTGCACAGAATATAAATATATGGGTTATTCAGCGTTTTGTTTTTGTCATGGAGTTCAAAACAGACTCGTATGCAGGTTGGTCTTGTTCTCTACTTCTTTGTCTGATTTGATGTTTTTATTGATTCAATCTGTCTGAGCAAACAAAAGACACATCAAAACACAACAGTATAAATGAATAATAATAACAAGAGCCAGAAGCTGGAAATACCAACATTTTATTTTCTACTTTTTGTGACTACAGAAATGTTGAAACATTTTGAACACTGAAAAAAGCTGGATGACATCATCACTTGCTTCTCAATTTTCTTTCTTTTTTTTAAATTTGCTTAGCAATCACAACAGATGATATTGCACGGCACTGAGAAAGCAGTAGCAAAGCCTGGGAAACAGCAATGACAAATCAGGTCATGAGACATGGAGTTATACATCTGAGAGTAACACTGACAGTATTGCCTCTCTGGCACACTCACACACACAGGCACTCACGCACCCAAACACACACTCAGACACACACACGCACAAAACCACACGCACTGAAAACTGAAGAAGCTTTGTGAGTTGAGAAGATAAAAAGAAAGAGAACAAGGTTGACAAGAGCACAAGGCCGACGAGAGCAATGAGATTTCATTTGGAAATGCAAGTGCAGGATGAACTACTACTGTAATCTATTATGTCTATGACAACAAATATGCTTGTTTATCAAAACCCTTTCAAGCATTTTTGTATGTGAATAGCTGGAGGACACCCCTCTGCGGGTGATAAACTAGTTCCCCAGCGTTAAGAGATCCAGATGATTGTCTTTGGCGCCGCAGTATTGTTATGAGACTTGTAGCCAAGCCACCCATCACATGGGAACTCCTTATGGACGAAATAAATAACAGAAAATGTGGTAATGGGGGAAAATAGATTCACACTGCATCATTCATATCCTCATGCAGTTATACTTGTTCTGTAAGCACCTGTACGTAGCTGAAAAACGTTCTGTGAGTGCACACATGCTGATACTGTGTGCTGGAAGGAAGCAGTACTAACAGTAAGGCCTCTGACAACCAGAGGGAGTCAAACTCACTGTTGGTGTATGCCCCAATCAGACACACACATGCATACACACCAGCAGTACGTACAGATTTCAAAAATAGAAGAACACACAGTAAAGAAACACATGCAAATAAACACACACATACACACTTGCATACCTCAGCAGCACTTGACATGTGAGTTGCACACACTCATCCACAGACAAGACAAAACAAGCAGGTGATCGTCCCCACACACTCACACACTGATTCCTTGGTTAGTTCTTTGCAGTTTTATTAGACTTTGCTCATAGTCATTACACGAGTACGTACCAAAAGAACAGATACTAGATGGAGCGAGGCGGCAGTGCCACGGCAATAAAAACAGACCCAGCTCCGCGGCACAGCCCCTGGCAGACCGGCTGCCCAGCCTCCACTCCAACTCACTCTGTGCATGAGACAGCAAAGTGAGCGGGACTTGCAGCCCTCGTTTCAAATGCTTCAGATTGTACATTGAACAGGAGATTCCCCACATGGTAGAGTAAGCTTGTCTACATAGCCCTACGCCTTCTACATTCTATACCCGTGCGAATGGCAAATCAAAACTCAACAAGTCTACCTCACAAATGCCAGTGCTTTTCAACATTATACATATTTTTTTCCAATTTTTGGTTTGTTTTAAAAATCTTTGGATGTGCAGTTAATACCCATAAAATAACCGTTTTTCTTTTAAAAAGTCAAAAGAATAGAAAAAACACACACGTACACACTGCTTTGTGCCAGCTGTTCAACAAAGTAGCTCCTGTATCACTTTGTCTGCGTTGGCAAATCAACTGTCTGGGTTTCTGGCAGTGTTTAAAACACACATTGAAATGCCGGCTAGGATTTAGCTGAAGAAGAATACAAACTACTCCTTTTATATCTAAGCGTGGGAAATAAGGCTGTAACATAAAACTTTCTTTTTTGTTTGTTTTTTTTCTTCAAAAACCTACTATATACAAATCTAGAGTTTCTACAAATGCATAAATTAAAGCAGTGGTTAACCATTACAAAAATGCAATTAAATTAAAATCACAACACAGAAGTAGAGAAAAAGGCAAAATATAAACACAATATCACAGCAGTTGGTTTTACCCTGTAAAAGCAATAGTCTACCATCATAATATTGGCATAACCCAATGTCTGATAAAAATACGCTTCTCCCTCCATCCCTTAAGTTTCACACATCAACCCTGAAACTTGTCGTCCGTGACTTGAAACAGAGCACATCTGCCAAAAAAACAACAACTTCAAAATAGATAATCATACAGCTTTTTGAAGTAACAACAACAGTTACCACACGAGTGGAGTTCTGCCTTACTCACAGATAGACGTCTCAATGCAGAACTCAAAGGAATTATTACTATGAGGTATTCAGAGACATTGGTAAAGACATGCACGGCCAGAGTGCTGAACCTTCTTACACACAGCAGAGAGGCGAGGAAGGTTTGGGGAAGGAGGGATGAAGGGGCGAGAGAGAGGAGAAACAAAGACCTTTGGTTTAATCTGTAGAAGTGGACAAGAGAAATTCCTTTGGTATGTTTTCATTGCATGGTTGCGCTGGCGAAAGCACCACGGTGTGATAAAAAAAAAAAAAAAAAAACCTTTCCTTGTCTCTTCAGTAGCGGCCCTTCTACAGGCTGAGGTATTCACAGAGTCAAAGGTGAGAGGTCAACAGCGGTATAACACTTTGGTTCAAGCAAGGCACTCGTCCTGGGAGTTTTAGAAAGATTGCAACACGTCTGCTTCTACTTTCAGGAACATGTCTGCCTATAGTTGAGTCAACATTTCTGCCCATGGCTATGTCGGCTTGTCTGCCTATTATCATGTCAAGAAGTCTGACCTATATGGTGGATCAATATTATCAACCTATAGATACACACCAAGAGGCTGGAGTAGAAATAAAGCTGCAAAAATAGACACAGCGGGGTATGAAGGTGAATCATGCACCAAACTAAAACTTAATTTGATTATACAACCACCATTTTAGCTTTTTTTTAAATGTTGTAGTGAAATAAATACTTTGGTACTGCTACAAAGATGCCCCTGCATGGCCACCTGTGTGTATGGCTAGATCAGCATATCCGCCTATAGCTGCATCAGCATGACTATCTATGGAGCTGTAATCAGAGCACAGATGAAGCAAGAGCACGCATAGCAGGGGTGCATGGGTGGAGAGCAGGTGGGAGGGGGAGAAGAAAGGAAGAGAGATAGAGGAGCCGGGGGGGGGGGGGGGGGGGAGGGGAGACATACAACATCTTTAAAACACCACTCGTAGAGGCCGTGCAATGAGAAAAAATCTTTGGTTATCTTTGGTATCATCAAAGTGATAGAAATCACGTATGGAACTTGAGTGAGGTAGCATCTTTGGTACACACTATAAAACATCAGCAGGTCTTGACACATTTTTTGTTTCTTGTCGTCTTTTTGGTTATCTCTTTCGGAGGTGAAGAAGCAGCTCCCTCTCTCCTCTCCGTCAGCGCTTGTTCTGATGGATGTAGAGCTGCTAACCCTGGCCATAAGGAGGATGGCGGCGGGGGGGGGGGGGGCAGCTCGATATATTTAATGATACGCTGCCCTGGGCCAGCTCTGTGTAGTGCTTTCCTCCTAGTGCTGGAATGCATAGCTTACGGAGGCAGGATGGGGGGGGGGGGTTTGCAACAGGCAGAGTGGGTTGCTTTCGTATTCAGGTGACGAGGTGACATTGATGTGTAAGCGCCTGAAAGTGATTTGATCATTGATATCATCCCCTCCACCGAACATCTTTGATGAGGAGATAAAATCAAATGCACAGGGACGCCGATGCTTATTATTAGAGTGGTGACACAAAAAACCCATCAGAGGCCGTCTGTCTCCCTCACTGTGTCACATATACTCAACATGAGAGGCAACATCTTTGGTTTCACCTTTGCAGCGATAACACACTACTGAATGGATTAGTCTTTGTTCTTTGGCTGCTGGTATTTCAAAATAAAGTTTAGCTAAATCTGTGGGACAGACTCAGAGGAAAGGATGTATCTGTCATGATTAATCTTCACATTTAAAGTAACATTCAGAGTTTGTGAAGATATCACTGTAATATTTGGTTTGATTAGAAAAGGCATCCATAAGGCAAATATCAATAGTCAATTCTCAGAGTTGTGTCATATAATATTTCTATTCGCGGGGAACTTATGGTGCCAAATGTGGTATGGACCATAAGCGGTGACATTATCTTCGTTGTGGCGACTAACAGTCTCAAGAGGTAAGATACAAAATAGACTCTTTGGTTCGATTACTTCATAGCAGAATCTGAAGTGGTTTGATTTCTAAGATGCATGAGAGGCTTCAGGTTGTAGAAGGCTTTGGTTTCTCTTGTTTAAATTATTCAACGCTTCAGCATGTTGGAAGAAAGCACTACCATGGGTGTTGAGGTTAGGTTTTTTTTTGGTATTTTTCAAGATTTTTTGGTTTTGGGTTAGCAGTCTACACATGGGCATTTCCCCGTCTGTCTGGAATGCTTGATAGAAAGACAGACAGCTGGACAGACAGACAGATAGACAGACAGTCCACCGCCACCGATCCAAACAAGGTTGCACAACAATCCGGTCGCTCCTGTAGGATTTTGTGTCTTTAAAGTTGATTGGCCAATCCCACCGGAGCTCCACATTCTGGCTGTTCTTCAAGGGTGTGGACAGCTGCAGATCAGACTGCCAATAGGGTGATTAAACCTCCATTTAGGGACCCATCATTAAAACCAACCAATCAGATTAAAGATAAGGATGGTGAATGATAGATTGATACTGAGTGGGGAGGTGTTGGGGGGTAAAGCTAGAGACCAGTGACAGTGAGTGTGTATGAAGGGGGGTAAAACTATAGTCTTTTTGCAGTATGTTACACGTAAATGTGTTGCTGAAACAAACATTTCAAAGCAGGTCAAACAAGAAGTCTTTGGTTTGTTTTTTCATCTTTGGATACTATAAATATCAATATAGTACAGGTTTAAGGGCAAAACGTTGCTTCAAGGTCTTTTTAAGTTTCTCTTTGTTTCTCATAAGTTTTAAAGCTTTTCCACCGAGGTTGAGTCAGTCCATGAGTTGGTCATTTCAGTCCGTCTTCAGGCTTTGGTGCAGGAGTTGGGGCCAGGGTGACCGGAGCCGTCGTCCACCCACTTATCGAGGCTCCGGCGGCGTGCGTTCATGAAGAAGTTGCTGACTGTGGTCAGCTCCAGGCCCAGCTGCTGGGCGATGGTGATCTGCAGCTCTTTGGATGGACGCTTGTTCTCTTTGAAGATGGCATGGAGCGTCCGCCGCTGCACATCTGTGAACACCAGCCGGGGCTTCTTGGACATGCTCCCCCGCTCGCTTCTGCCGTGGTCCTGTTCCTTACGCTTACATGCTGTGGATTCAGAAGACAGACAGAAAGAGAGAATAGGTTTGTGAGAAAGGGCAGAATATGTACACTACTAAATACCAGATACTGTTAATATGTACATTCATTATGTGACCATCTATGTTTCCTGTAGTTATTGAATTGCTCTTTTTACTGCACTGTTAGTGTACAGTTTTATTATTATTGTGCTGCTGTGTTTATTGTATTTGTGTAACTCTGGCACAACAATTTCCTTCGTGATGAATAAAGTCTTATTTTATCTTATCTTATCTTATATACTTGTATAAATACAACAATCTTGACCGGCATGAAAATCTTCCCTCAATCACATCTTGACCTTGGATTTAAAAAAAGGGTTAAATAAATATATTGACTGACTGACCTATGTATTATCTCATTGGTTCACCTCAATACTAGCTCCAGATAGAAGTATGATTTCATTCAGGACACACTGGGATGATTATTTAAAGCCAATACCAAAATCAGATATTTTCCATTCCATTTTGAGCCAAACTAACTCAAATATAGATTATTTGGTGCACAAATGCAGGACCAAAACTGGTTAAGATTTTCATAGATACTTATATCAAGATAGTCTTGACATATAATAATTGTATCGAGTAATTGTATCCTAAGAGCCAACATGATAATTCCACAATCATCCAATATCACCAGTGAAAGTACGTATACCAGCATTGCTGGTATAAAAACATCCATTAACAATTTGGAAAAAAGCATTTTCAACTATGTAATGTCTGGAGAATCTCTTCAACCTAACCAGGGTGTCCGCGGGGTCTTAAAAAGTATTAAAAGTTGATCAATCAATTTAGCGAAAATTAAGGCTATTAAAAAGTATTAAACGGCATTTTCCAAGTAGCTTGTTTCCAATAAGTATATAAATTGTCCAAAGAGGTTGTATTCAACAGTCTGCCTGAATGTAATCATTGCGTAGGTGTGTAGTGTGATTCTGTGTAGTTTATTTATGGCATCCCGTTGGATTTGACGTCATCTGAACAGGACATCGCACGCTCACTGCTTGATAGCGCGAAGGTCCGTTTACGCCGGTTGTTAAACAACATCGTTATGGGGAAATGCAAGTCTGCGTCAAAATGGTTGGAAGATAAGGAGGAAGGACAATCAATACTATATAGTCAATGTGAGGTAAAGTGTGTCGCCAATGTAACCGGTTAGAACTGGAAGTGGCGATGAGGTCTTAAAATGTATGGAAAGGGTCTTAAAAAAGGTCTTAAAAGGTATTACATTTGTCTTCAGGATTCCTGCATATACCCTGCTAACTGAAAGATCTAACTGCTGATCTAAATGATACACACTCTGTATCTCTCTCTCTGTATATAGCTGCTGCAGCGTGTATATGATCAAACCAAGAACAAAAGAGTATACCCACTGGATTAACTGAACATTTAGTGATGTTGTTGTAATGGGAGCGTGTCAAAGTGTTTATTTATCTCTGATCCTTACATGACTACAATTGTTTTAACACTATTCCCAAGGCAACCCTTTTAGATGTTATCTGTTGGTTGTAACTTTGTACAGACACATGCAACAGCCTGCAGGTTGGAATCGCTTTTGCACCTTTGTTCGAAACACTAAAACTCTTTCAGTGTGCACACCGCTGGGGTGCATGGGGAATAACAGAGGAATTAAACTCTATTGCATTTGTTCAGGGAGCCCATGTTGGGGAGGAGGGCTGACAGACAGAAAGCCTGTCTGCCGGGAAACAATGAGCGCTGTCCGCGGTGCTGAAAACAAAAGGTGCACCGCAATATACTTGAGTTTTAGAACAATACACACCAGATCATCTAATGTTGGAAATAAGAATTTGGGATTCTGTGTGACAGCAAATCAAACATCACTACAACTGATCTCATTGCTGTTTCATTTTTTTCTTATTAAGCCCGAGGACAACCATCCAAAATTGAGGTTCATCTGAGGCCAGGAGGGGGCAGAAGTGGGCTGCTGGAGCGAGGCCCAACATGGACTCACGGGGGAAACGGCATTTACCAACCCCAAAACAACTCCCAAACCAGTGGCGATTAATTTTGCAAAGTGTACCGAGTAAATGTATTAAATGTAGCAAATCAATGTATTATAGAAAATCCCTAAACCCTATAATTAACAAAGGCAGTATGATACTTAAATGCATAAGTGCAGCAGAACAACACATTGGGAAACAAATGCCTCTTAGCTATTGTATATTACATATATTACATATAGAAAGGGGTTCATTTAGTCCTATATTTTTGGATATTAGTTTTGCATAAATGCCATTGCCTTTTAAAATCCACGTGCAGTAAGGAAACGGTAATTCATTAGGGAGAGAAAATATATTGAAATAATGATTATTTATATAAATGAGTTGAGTTGAAGCTGATTTTGCCGATCCCACCTTGTAACCTCACTTCTGCACACACTACACGGTGTGTAGTAAAGTACAGTGCAGCGACCTAGCCTGCATGACCATAAACTGGAGTATTATTGTGAGTTTAAGCAGCCCGGTGTCTCCAGTGCTGGTAAATATTAACAGAGAGCCGGTGCTGCTATAAATCAGCAGCAGTGAAGGCCACTCCGACAGCAGCAGCCTCCACACAGCGGCCCGACCGGAGCTGAGGCCCGGCCAGAGAGCCAGCTTTCCCAGGACAGGGGGCACAACAGCGGCCTCGTTATCACGCTAATCACACACCCACACACATATAGACACACACACACTGCTGCTGCACCCGGCTAATCATTACAAACACAGATAACTCCACACACTCAGACTGCACACACTGGGCCTACAGACACGGTTAGTCCTGCATTTCATAATCTCACAGAGAACAACAAACAGACATCTGTGCTGCAAATCCTGCAAATATTCAACGCTCTGTTTGAGAGAATGTCTCTTCTTTACTGTGCTAATACCCTCAATTTCCTAAAACACCGGAAAACTATTTATTTTTTAAAGTTGTCAATGCGATTACAGCTGATTTACGGAGTTTAAATAGATATATCAGTTCTGAATGTATTCATTATTAAATATGAATTGTTCCCTATCAAATATGCCTACTTCAAAAAAGTTTCAATCTATTTTCTGTATTTAATTCTACCCATCGTTTCTATCTGTGTTCTCTATTTTTATTCTATCCAATTCAAGCAAATTCAGATGGGTAATTGAATACGTGGGAAAGGGAGAAAAGGCCCGAGATAGATAATTTCAGAATCCTAGATCAATAAGTATATCACACCTAAGCACACGATCACATATCTAGTTCACCAAGGAACGAAATGATCAATAAAATGGCGCTCAGCCCATTCCCTCCAAATTAATTTAGTTTTTAACTGTAAAATAATTCCCTCTCCTATCCTTTTTTTGTATGTCATATATATTTTCCTTGTGGTGTTTCTCCACTAAAAAACACACATTTCTGTATTGTAGGTTCTGGTTCAAGAAAAGGAAAACAAAACATATTTGTTCTTGTAAAAAAAAATAGTTTTCTTTTGAAAAGTTAGAGATTAATGGGAACATACTATGATCATTTGTGTTCGAGGTATGAATGATTAATTTCTCTTTCATTTAAAAAAGAATCACCAAAAATTAATATTAATATAGGCTGATGATTGAAAACTAAACCAGCTTTCAAAGGCTCCATTAATTATTTTCATAAATCCTTAGCAAGAGTCAGTGATAACACACACACACACACACACACACACACACACACACACACACACACACACACACACACACACACACACACACACACCACGCGTGCGCACATGCACAAATACGCTAGCAGCAGCAGCAGATGGGAAAACTGAAAAGTAATCAATTGCGATTACACTCACATGCACACGCACTGACATGCACGTACGCACACACACGTAAGCAAAAATCACGCACTTTCCATGTGGCTGCAGCCTCACTTTTCAAGAAGCCAAAAAGCCCATTTCTAGGTCATTGATTAGGCCTATAAACGTTAAAAAATCCATTGGGTGTCTGTGAACGCGCACATGTGATTTGGGCCTCAATGCGCGCCCTAATTGACTCGTGCGTACCTCAGGGACAAATTAATCCAGAGGTCTATCAGTTCATTAGAGAAACCTCAAGTCAGGGTTAGTTTACGACCAAAACATAAACACATGCTGTCTTTCCCACTCCACTGTATTAGTTTGTATAGAATTGTGTTTAATAATGTTGAAGACAAAGCTATATATTTACTGACTAAATCATGCATTTCTTCACCAGTACTTGACATTTAAATATAGTTTATCACAAAATGTCAATAACTTTTTCATGCTGTTTCTTTTTACACCAAGGGCAACACCAAAAAGGCTGATCGGTTGCATCAACACCAAAATAAACACATTCCTAACGATTTCTGGGCGAAGGATCAGTTTACGCACGGTCCAGTGGTCGATATTTTGAGGTAAAATAACATGAGCACTTGTTTCACACAACCCCCAAATCAGTGTAGAGACAGAAAAGGAATGCGTATTGATAACAGTCCACTCATGTTGGTGCACGAAAATTAGCGTGGTAAACTTCACATATTGTTTACACTCTGCATCATGTTGGATTTCACCATCAAACATACTTCCCCTCCAAGGCATACAGCTTAAATGTGGGGTCCTTATCTAAAGAAACCACACTCCCAAACCCCGAGACATGGCCTGCTGCACTTAATACCATTTCACATCCGGAATATTTTATCATCAAATAATAATTTCTGGAACCATGTTAGGCTATAAGAATAAAGTACAACCAGCCAAGAGGGATCATTTGCCCTGAATGCTACCCTGATGTGATTTAACACTTAGATTGCTGTTAGATGTATAGTTTTTTCTCTGTATTATAATAAAAAATAAGAGCTAACCCAATAGCCCACTTGACCCATTGATCAATATAATGTAGCATTCAGTGCTAATGATCCTCTGTGCTGACACAACAGACGCGCCTGTTTCTCTCAGCAACACATTGAGAAGATGAAAACAAAAAGGGGGCTTTACCGAGGCTTCGCTCACCTGCGAGCCTGAGCGCACTCATGCGTTGGAACTCAGGCTCCTGCAACCACTTCCACATGCGGCGGAAGGTCTCCCTCCCGGACTTGAGCTTGGACCAGGGTTTGGGGTTTCTCAGCAGGTCGGACAGGGTCCCCTGGGACCTGCACAGGACCCGCTGGGCAAAGATGGCCTGAGGGATGCTGTAGCGCTTCAGCTCTGTGGTGATCCTCTGCGCCACCTCTTTGGTATTCACCTCCTCCATCTGGCCCCCAGAAACACCACCCCCTCCACCGCCACCCCCTTGCTGCCCGGGCCCGGAGGCCTGCTCCCGGCTGTTCCCCAGCCCCTGGCCGTGCCCCTGCGCGCCTAGGTGGGCGTGTGGGTGGTGGTGGAGGCCGTTGATTTGTACCATGCCCGCCGATGAGCTCATGTGCTGCTCCGTGTGTCTGCCGAGCATGGAGGGGTGGTGAGCCTCAAACCCGCTGGGGGTGAGCATCTTCTCACCAGGCATGGCGGCACCGGGATGAGCGTAGGGAGGGATCCCGGCCTGGGACGTGTGTATGCTGGCCAGACCGGAACCAGACAGCGGGGAGAGGCTCTGGCCCATGCAGGGATCTTTGTGATGATATGCGGGGTACAGACTGTTCAGAGGCGCCAGACTCCGGTCCTCTCGCATCAAAGTAAAGCTGCCGCTGACATTTCCGGGGATCCTCTGGTGCGGATGATGGTGAGGATGATGGGGATTGGGATGGTGGTGGTGGTGGTGATGATGGGAAGGAAACTTGTCGGACACGGTGGAGATGGGGGGTAAGGGCTGCAGGGGTGTAAGGGTGGTGTAAGTGCTGCATGCACTCATGCCGGGGGGGACTTCACACATGCTGATGGCTGGGTGCAGGTGTCCGTGGTGTCCGGGGTGATAGTCCCCGCTGTCCAGGAGGGTTGCCATGCCCATAGCGCGGTGGCTGAGACCCCGGGAACGGGCATGCGGACTGTGGCCACTCAGCAGGTCTCCGTGACCGACCACGGACTCATGGCTCACTCCGTGCATGTCGCCAATATTTTCCATCGACAGATGTGCGTTCATGATCCGGGCAGCGCTGTGGACAAACCATCTATAATGATCTACCTGATGTCCAGAAGTCCTCACGTCCAGTAAAGTTCAATTTTCTTTTGTTGCTTTTTTCTTCTTTCCTTGCCTGCCAGCCTGCTTTTAGTTATTTCTCTCCTTATATTCGCATGTATTCTCCTATGCCTCTGACGCTGTTTTGCAGAATGGAAACTCCTTTTTCGTATCCTTTTTTTCTTGATATTTTTGTTGTTTAAAAAAAATCATTTTCTGATTCTCTTTATATTTTCAAGCCCCCCCACCGCCAACCAGCTGTCCTTGCGCTCCGGTCGGGTGCCGCGCCATCTCTCTAGTTGTGTGTCTCCAGCCCCTATTCCACCGCAGCACAGATCACTGTCTGCACATGCGCAATGTGAACACACATCTCCTCCCATACGCTCTCTCTCCCTTTCTCTCTCTCTCAAACACACACCGCCCCATTGCTCTGACGTCAACGACCTTATTAAGGAAGGGAGGTATCAAACCACCTGCTAAAGCTATTCTCCCCCGTAACCCATATCCAGCCTTTACGGAAATGTAAAACAAATGCAAATAGACGGATCTCTAATAAAATCCTCACATCATCGACCCATGGAAATAGTGTGGAGGCACTGCCTAGGTTTGATGGCCAATTGTTAAATAGAAAACGTTTCATTCATTAGAGCTATAAGGAGGCTTTATATGCAGTCCTCCTTAAATGATTAGGTGCAAATGAAGTAAACTTCCGGGTTCATTTGGAGTTGATTTTTAACTAGTGAGGTCTGGGATTCAAAACATCAGCAGCTCACACTTAATCCTTCTGCAGAAAATAGCAAAAGAGGCTTCAGAAATTATGACAAGACATAATGATTTTAATTAGCAGCTAAAGGGCTGCCAATAAAGTTGTTTTCATGCACCATATAGATCCATTCTTTCATTACCAGGCTACTTCAGCTGCACCACCCCACCCCCACACCCCTTACCAAAATATGTGGCGGTTTAAACAAACGAAGAAGACTGTAGTAGGCTACCTTTTCTTTTGATAGAAAAAGATGAGCAGATGTGTCCATTGTTCAAACATTAGGCTTAACGAACCAAGCCCAGCAGTGTGTGTGCGCTGTTGTGTGTGTCCTAATTGAACACATGCATATTATATAATCCTAAACTTTGATAATAACTTACTTGCCTATACACAATGACACTACAAATAAAAGGCCAACATTTCATTTATTCAATAGGAAAATATTTATTTTTGTCAACAGAAACTTCCACATAATACAAATTCACACACAAAGAAACTCACAGCTTTATCCGTAAAAAAAGGAAATGACATGCTGGTGCTGACACATAATACGATTCGTATCCCCGTGTTGCATCATGTTGCATAAGTGTCCAACTCTCCAAACCTGCAGCCTGATGAAAGCCGGGCCCTGCTGACATGTCAGGGGCCGTTTATCCTAATAGAGCGGTATTGCAGGGCGTCCTCAGCCGGCCGAGGTGACAGCTTGCAGCGGTCAGTGTCCTGCTAGACCCCCCGCTGAATGAGGGACATGTCAAAGGTGACGCTTCAAGACTCCCAAAGCCAACATCTGCGGGGGGACAGATTAACCTTTCAGACTTTTCCCTGTCCTGGACCTGCTAGGGGCCCCGCATCTGTCAGGGTCCCCACAATAGACCCAGCGCTCGGTTGAACGAGTTAAAGAAAAGAAGAACAAAAAGAGACGAAGTTAAACTGTCTCTGATGTGAAGTCAATGTCAACGGCGTGTGTGTGACGTGTGTCGAGACAAAAGACACTAATTCCCCGAAGTGTGGCTGTCCAAGCGTGTAGTCCTGTGGACATAATAGACTGATGCAGGCAAATAGGGCTGTCAACACCACAACTGTGAAACAGTGACTATGGTTACATATTTATTTTAAATAATGTGTTACATGTTCCTTATTATATTAGATACCCACACTTAAATGTGTTTTGAATATCATCCAATATTTTTATTTTAAGTTTTACCGTATTATATAACATTAAATAGGCTAACTCTATTTATGGTTATATAACTTACATTTTCCGATTTGTTTCTATTTGTATTTATATGCACACACCCAATAAAGAGACAAGATATAGAAAGACTGAGGAATATCAAAGAACAAGGTTTGGCCTTATATGGCAGCAAACCTCATCTACACATTCTCATGCGGATCGATAAGCTCCTGCCATGTCTGCACGAGCTGAGCTGCGTTTATGTGTGTTGGCTCTCTACGGCCATTGTGCCGATAAAGGCCTGACCCTACGAGCCGGTGACATTTGCTTTGCAGAGAACATGCGTAGGCCTACAAGGGACACAATTTTCTAACCTACTACGAAAAAGGGGATACATTTCAGGCGAGATTCAATTCAAGTACACAGAAATACACCAATAAGTAGTGCTTTGCTGAACCGTGCATGTGCGGATGCGGAAATGCGGATAAAGCATCTTTCTTATTTGACTTTTTTATAATAATCTAGTTATATATGAAAAAGAAAAGTGTGTGCCAGGCAATGGGGGACTTGAAGGCCCCGTGTCAATTACTTACAGGTTTCACACTGATTATTAATCAGGGGGAATATTCCCGTGAAGCCCAGAGCAGCATATATCCGAGCAGAAATAATAATGCCTTGCAGAGAGGACCGTGGATCAATATTTCGGCAGCTCTGCAAAGTGACACAGCGTTGCCAGCGTTATGGATGTTCAAAATGACAATTACAGCTTGTTTGAGAATAAGCCACTGCTAAATGGGATCTGGTGAAACTAAACTTTTATAAATGAGGCTACTTGAATTTGGCGTAAATGGTTATTTATGGTAGATGAACCCATGATATAAGGGCACATGCATTGGTAAACTGAATTAGCCTTTTGAAGAATAAATCACATTGCTCTTTTTGGCCCCGTTTTCAACCTATTTATCAATTCACTTTTTAAATGTAAATATTGTTGTTCTGCAAATCTATTTTATTTCCTTTATTTTATTCAAATCCCCCCCAAAATGAAAAATCTTTGTGGAAAATATAAAAATGTTAAATGTTAAAATATTTGAGAAGATATGAGATGATGTCTCTCTTCCCTCTTTTCTAAAAAAATGTGCATTGCAGTGTCTGTGGCTGGCCTTTACAGCACATTTGAGGTATAGGCCTTGAAAACACACCACAGCGCACCAATCAATACTGAATACAATTATACATCCTGGAGGATCTCAGGCTAAGGCTTTTGATTTGTTAGAATAAACTAACCTAAAAATATACGTTTTTAAAACTGTTTTTCGGTGGCAATGTATGCGTCTATATATGCGTTGTAAAAATGTGTTTTATTAAAGTAAGGTCATTATTTAAATCAGCAACCTAGCTAGCCCTATATCTTAAATAAAAATACATTGGTCGAAATTACATTCATATATAAAAGCTGTACATATGAAATTGTTTAAATGTGTTTTACTTTATTCTAAGGCTGAAACGGTTGAGTAAATAAAATAAGAAACAAGATTGAATAAATAGATCTATCCCCATTTCAACCTCACTACCAGTTAGCAGGCGAAAGAGATATCATCTTCTCTTTAAGCTGATTTAAATCCCTTGTGAGTATTTAGGACGAACTTGTCTAAGTTTTTGCCTAAACAGGAACAAAAAAACCTCGGAGGCATAAAAGCAATAAAAGCTATAATCATATGCTTCCCGTCTCCTTCATTAAGGAATTTCCTTTTTTCTTTAATGTTTCCCCAATTAATATAAATGCCATCATGGCAGAGCAGCAGATGCCGGACCTGCTGCCTTGCTCAGGGGTAAATCAACTGCCTCTTCCCTCGTGTTATTCCGCGTCACCTGCTCTGATTCGTGCACTCATGTGAAATGAATAAGGCATCACTTTACATTAAGGTGTCCATATGCCGCCCAATTACTCCCTGTAACTTTGGAGAGACTCCAATTATGACAACAAAACCGTGTTAGCGATAGCCAAACCAGCCCCACCGTAATGCTCCAAATGTTCAAATCTAGATGACTTCTTACTCCAACAGACTGTGGCTTTAGGAGCACCAATAATTAGTTTGGAGTGAACTGAAAAGCCTCTTTCACATTTTCTGGCGAGATGCTGAAATGTGGTTTGATGCTTTATTTTTGGCGCCCTAAATTCTGTGCTTTTAGAAATAGTTATTGCAAAAATGATTTGTCATGTTCAAGATAACTTTAATTGGCTTTTAAAAATATCAGAGATTTGGTGTTTTTACACGGTCCATTAGCCTGGCTGAATGTACTCTAAACAAGTTCTGCTATGTTCTCTGAGATTTCTTTTAATACAAACACTAGAAATCCTAATACTTGTATGAATGAAACTGCACCTACTTGAATGCATATTGCTTAATTTCGACGGGACAATCCTCTGAGATGGTGGTCCTGAAAATTAGGGATTATAATAATTTTCTCCTTTTTTAGCATCGTGTCAAAATCAACAATTTTTCATCTGATAACAACGCGAGGGGGGCTGGGTTTGAATAAGAGACTTGAGAACATGTTTTCCACATGTTTTAACACATGCTCATTTTTTAGGAGAAACTTTATCTGATAAATGAATTAACATTGAGAATATTTCACAAAACAGCTCAATCTATAGGACTTTAAATGTGTGCGTGTGTACGTTTTCACAGCTAATCATTTACCTCAATAATTTGTTTTATCAGCAATCGTTTTGTTGTGTTTTACTCGTATAAAACTTTAAGAATATAACCCCCCATTTAAAATACTTCATCTTGACAGCCCTACAGAGATGCGTTTTGCAGAAAAATCAATAAGTAAATCCTGACTAATATTTACCACTGTGGGCTTGACTGACACTGCATTATTATTATTAAAGCATTTAATGAAGCCAGATGTTTAATTAAGACCTCTCTCCTTCTGACAACCTGTTTGGCCGTGCACTGATGCCACTATGCAGATATTATAGTGTGTGTGTGTGTGTGTGTGTGTCGCAGGCAGCTGCTGTAAGTGTGTGTGCAGATCAGCGTGCACAGAAACTGTTCGTCTGACTTGAACGGTACTCTTTTGTTCACGTCTCTTCTCAACAGGGTGCACAATGTCTGCATTAAAACTCCTATTCTTCTGCACCCCACATATACACACACTCACGCACAGGCAAAGGAAAACGCACACACTCATACACTCACACTCACACTGTAGTCCCCGGCTTTACCGCAGGCTCCCATTCTGCCATGCCTGTGTGACACTGACATGCAGCAGCACAGGGCGACAGAGCTTTAACACCAATACATAAAGTTGTTATCTCCAATATACGAGTTGCAAAAATCACAGTAATCGCTCGAATCTGTGCGTCTTCTCCATGCG